TTTTACTGCAATAACTTTGTTAAATGTCCATCTACCTTAGCTTTTTTTCTGTTTACTGTGAACCACATTCAAATTACTTCACGAAAATGTAAAAAGGAAAAAAATTCAGCCTGTAAAAGTCGAGAAAGGCGGCCATGAAATAGCACAATAAAAAAATGCAGTTGCTTAGAAGCTAAGATAACTTCAAAAAATACTAGTAAAAAATTGCGTACATTGTACTATGACGTGAGGCTGCAAAATAGTCTAAATCAATTACAAAGTACAAAAATTTCTTCAGATTCTTTAAGGCTAAAGTTGTTGAAGTGTACCTTCTTGAAAAGAAACTTAGCGTGGAACTCTAACCCAATTTAACTTGTAATGGATGCACTTTCAGAAGCTGAATTTCTAGGCAAGCAGAAAAGCTCTCGTACTTGGCAAAAAATTTATCAAATCAATGTTCAGTTTCGCGGAGAATTTGTCTTCCCAGTGTTTCTACAGTAACTGTTCGAACATACCTATCAAGTCGGCAAAAAAATTCTTTCTGTTATTGGAATTCCAATGAGTGTCTAAAAATGATATCAAGAAGAATGATATCAAAAGAAAATGACCTGAAATTTTCGAGAATTTCACTCAAAAGAAATTTTTTTCAATTATTACAGTCTCAAGAAATTTTCTGTCTTTTTTTGAAAGTGTCCAGAAATTGTGGTAAATTATGCGAAGAGCTATTCAAATTTCACATTCTTTTCATCATATAAACTTAAACAGCATGCATTCTACATGTTGAAATGCTGGACGGATTTGATCGCTTTCCAGTATACCACTAGTTTCACCTTTCCAGGAGTTTTATTGAAAAAATCACTGTAAGAGCCTAAACAGTAATTTCTGTGTTTCAGTTCGCCAAAAGAATACGAAAGAAAGATCACTGAGACCATCTCGGGCAGTCATTTTGAAAAGAGAAAATTCTAAAAAATTTTGAATTAAAAGCAAGTTATTTTTCATTGAGTAAATCTTTAATAGACTAAATAATAGTGTATTTTAGAGTATTTTTCCTGTGTATGTGCAGCTGAGGTTCATTTTTATGAGTCAATCTTTGTTTCAGTGTTTTTGAAAATAACTTTATTTTGACTGTCAATATTTACAAATACAGTTCGTTTTGCAAACAATAGGTTACTTTACAATTAAAATGGGACACCGCACCTTCCAAACCTGCAACTTTCGTGGAAGTTGGATGTGATCTTCCGAATGATAGCGAAAACGAAGCATCAGACACGGAGGACACTGACAACTGACCCAGCACGTCTTATATTTCGGCAATTATTTCTCAATCACTTCATTGTAAAGTAACCCAGTGTTTGTAAAACAAGCTGTATTTGTAAATATTATCAGTTAAAACAAAGTTATTCTTAAAAAATGAACGATGAAACAAAGATTGAAGTTATAAAAATGAACCTTAG